CCCTCCGATGCCCCCCTTGTTCGTGCTCCGCTTTTCCCCCACACAGGCCTGACTGACGCAGGTGCCTTTCCCTTCTTTCGGCCTGGGGCCGCTTGCAGCCTGCTGCCTTCGAGGCCCACCATCGTGTGGCGTCTGGTCTGTATGCGCAGCTCCGATACCTGCTGCCGGATGCGCAGCAGGGCCTTTCGCAGGCGGACTCGATGTTGCTCGTGGGATCGCTGTTGGCGCTGGCCGCGTCCTTGGCCCAGTTCCTGACCGCCGTGCCAGTCGGCCGGGTGGCCGATACGTACGGGCGCAAGCCCGCCTTGCTGGTGGTTCTGCTGGCCACCCTGGTCGCGCACCTTCTGCCGCTCCTCCTGCCCCAGTCCATGGCGGCATACAGCCTTTCCCGAGTGCTGGCTGGCGCCGCGCGCGGAGTCACGCAGCTCGCCATGACCGTGTCCGTGGACCTGTCCTCCAGGGCTGATACCGGGCCGACCGCCACGGCCGCCAGCCCCCCGGGCAAAGCTGCCCCCAGCGCCGGGGCGGCGGTTCTCCTGCGCGCACGTGCCCTCGCCTTCACTGGCATCGCCATCGCCTTGGGCTTCACGGTGGGACCAGTGCTGGGTGTGGGCCTTGCCCGTGCGGCTGGCCGTGGTGCTCTGGCCGGCGCCTCGCTGCGCGTCCTGTCGACCGGCTTGTCGACCGGCCTGGATCTGCTTGCTATCATGTTGACGGTGCTGCTCTTCCGGGAGCCCATTCGCACCAAGGCCCCGGCCGATGGCCCGACCGGCGTCGGCCCGGCCACCCCTCCCGGGGGGGCCCCCTTCCCGGTGTCGTATGGCTGGCTGTGCGCCGCGCAGTTGGTCTTCTCCTGCTTCCTGTCGGCCTTCGAGCATAGCCTCACCTTCATCCTGAGTGCCCTGCGGGGCTTTTCCTCGGCAGACCATGGTCGTCTGCTGGCCCTGTCCGGGCTGGTGGCCATCCTCTCGCAGGGGGGCATTTCTCGGCGGCTCTCCAGCCGGGCGGTGGCCAGTGTGTCCGACAAGCCGAACGACGTGCGCCGGGCTGTGCGCACGGTATCCAGCGCCGCCCAGGTTGGCACCCTGCTCCTGGGGATGGCCTCGTGCCTGGTGGCTGTGGCTGCCGGGCCACGCATTCTGCCGGGCCTGCTGCTGGACACCGGGGCCTGGTCCTCCAGCCGTGTTGGTGCCCTGGTGGCCGTTCCCTTTGGCGTGGCATCCGGCCTGGTGGGTCCCATGTTCACGGCCCTGGCGTCTCTCGCTTCCGGCGGCGAGACCAGCAACTCGTACGCTCCCCCGTATGGGCTGTCTCCCACCCCTCGTCGCTCTTCCACTTTGACACTCCCCCCCCCCCCCCCCCCTTCCCCCCTTGCTGATGGTCCCTTTTGCTCGCTCCCCTCCCCCCTCCAGTGCCCAGCGTGTGGCCCACTTCCGGTCGGTCGGCTTCATTGGCCGCGTTCTCGGGCCGGTGTGCGTGACCGTGCTCATTTCCCTGCTGTCGGCCTCCTGGGGGGTGCTCCGGCCGGTGGCGGATGCCCTCGGGGTGAGTGGGTTTGTGGTCGGCACCGGCACCGGCACCGGTGCCGATGTCACCACCTCCTTCGGGCCTCTGGCCATGCTGCTCCTTGCCGTGCTGATTGCCTGCCTGCCGACGGTGCTCTTGTCGCTCAGCACAGCCGGCGGGGAGCTTCCCCCTGCCGGGGCCCTGGAGCGGAGGGTCGACTCGGCGGCCAGTGGGACATCGGCTCGGGTGCCCGTCTCGGGGGCGGCCATCTCCCGCCGGGCCACGCAGTCTGTGGCCCCGTGAGGGGGTGCGCCTTCTTTGGATCTCCCTGGCACTTGTATTCCCTCTGTATGCTCCCTGAAGTGGCCCCCTCCCCCGCTGTGTCCTTTCCGCCGCCGAGCCAGTTGCCCGTCCGACACACTCGGGGTGTGCTTTATTGTACGGCGGACCACGACCCGAAGAATAGAACAACCCCCCTTGCGATCATGGGAAGGGCCGCATGGCGACGAGACTGGGGGAGGGGAGTGGGAGAAGGGGGAAAGGGGGAAAAAGAAAAGGGCACCAGGCAAGCACGGATCTCCAGGCTGATGCTCGGACTGGCCGGGAGAGGATGGGACGTGGGAGGTGGGCGAGGGGGGGGGGGGGGGGGGGGGGGGGGGGGGGGGGGAGTGGATGGGGAAAGAAAGAAGAAGGGTAAAATGTCTATTTGCGGCTTGCGCCAGGAGTGGGGAGTGAGCTGGGACGCCGGGCGGGCTGAGCTAGAGCGCCCGGCGACCAGACGGGCGCTTGGCCGAGGGCGGAAGCTGCTCGGCTGCCGCCGCCAGTGCCCGGCGCTTCATCGTCAGCTGGATGGCCTCCAGGAAGGGAGTGAGATCTTCGCGACGGATTTCCAGCACCGAGGCGTCGAAACCATCGTGCCGGAGGCGAATGCCGCGCTCGGCGGCCACATTCTTGAGAATGACGCTGAACACACTGGGAGGGGGGGCAAAGGGGATGGCCAAGCCGGCGTCGGCGTAAGAGTCAGCAAATCCGACAGGAGGAGGCAGCATGGCAGGGGGCCAGGGCGAAAGGGAAAACGCACTTGCGCTGGACTTGTGAAGAGGAGCTCCGCTCCCGGTCAAGGCCGATGACGAAGTACGAATCTGTCGAGTGGCACAGGGAGGCCACCAACAGGGGTAGGTTGGTCTTGCCAGAAGACTGTACCAGTGTGGCCCCAGATCGTGAGGGGAGGAGGGGGGGGGGGAGGGGGAGAGGGGTGTTGGGGTATTGTTAGGGCCAGTCCCATCTGGGGATCAAAGACTCCACAGGGAGGGAGGAGGAGGAGGAGATGGGGAAAAGGGGGAAAGAAGAGACGGCAAAAGTGCGAGAAGGACAGCCAGGCCGGGAAGCGCGTATGCACGCACCCGAAGAGCGTCACGCATGTAGAGCGCCAAGCGGGTTAGTGTGAGTGGGTGCACCACCAGCAGGTCACTGTTCCCGGTGCTCCACCGCGAGTCCAGCGGTGCGGCTCCAGCACGCCCGGGGCCCATGGGAACCTGGTGCGCTACCGGCCCGGTGGACCCGGCGTCCTTGACAATGGCAAAGCGCAGGAAGCGCGTGGTGGTGATGGCATTCTGCTCGATGAGCAGGGTGATTTGACGGATGATGGCTCGCTGGTAGGCCATGGCTAGGTTGAGGCCAGACTCAAGGATCGTCGTGTAGGGGCTGGGGGCGGGGGGAGGGAGGGAAGGTCGAGCAAAGGACCGCACGTGTGAGAGAAGGCGAGGGGGACATGAAGCGAGGCAAGGCAAGGGTGCGCGGCGCGCGAATGGCGGGAGCAGATGGGGGGAGGGGGGGGGGAGGGAGAGAGAAAACAATTTCGGCTCAACAAGGCGTGGATGTGCGGGCGCATACACGCAGCCGCAGCACTCAGCACACAGCACGCAGCACGCAACACATTTGAGCCGGTGTATGCAAACAAAACGCACGACTCCAGGGCATCATATGCCCGATACCAGCACTGCAGCCAGACCTGGTCGCGAGAAATGTCACTGGTCCGGGCGTACTCGGCCACCGCTTCGGACATGGTGGAGAAGGCGGAAAAGGAGTCGCCCCCCGAGGACTGGCCAGGCCCCCCGGCCAACCCATGGCGGGACAGGGTGAAGGCAATGTTCGAAGCTATGGCGCCGGCCTCCACCAGGGAGGAGATGGCATACACGACGTCGGCCGCGGCCACAGCCGTGCGGAACCCCTGCCGCGCGATGAAGGCCGGGTACATGATCCCCGGGAGGTTGACCCCGGCCGAGACGTCGGCCAAGCGCCGGGGAAGGTCCCGGCGCATTTCCACATCCATGGCCAGGTGCGGCTGGCACGCCTGACTGAGAGGGATGCCCAGGCGTACGAGCAGCGTGCGTACCCGGTGCGCGCCCTTGTCATTCCACACGCCGAGCTGCGTGGCCACATGCGGCGCATGCATTAGCGCATCGAACAGGGACCAGTGCCGGTATAGCATCAAGTTCAAGTCCTGCTGGTGATTGATCTTTAACGAGGTGTCCACCGCGCTGCCAGTGTATGTCCCATCTAGGACCGACCCGGCGGCCGGATCATCGCCCGACGGATCCTGCCCATCCTCGGGCAGATGGTCGGCCGACCGGCCGGCGGCGGCGGCGGCCGCCGCCGCCGCCGCCTGCTGCTGTCGACCAGCCCGCACCAGGCTGTCAATCAGCGCCTCAAGCTCCAGGTCCGGCAAAAGGTCAAGGCCATAGTCGGTCGGGGTGCGGGAGCCCGCCGGCCCGGTGGGACCACCCTGCTGCTGCTGCTGCTGCTGCTCCTCTTCCTCAAGCGCTTCGAGGGCCTCCAGCTCGTCGAGCTCGTCCAGGCGATCGAGCTCATCGTCAAGCTCATCCGCCGAATCGCCCCCGGTGGCCAGGCTACGTGCCCGGCGCAGGGCGCGACGTTCCTTGAGCAGGCGCTCGCGCTGACGCGATCGAAGTAGGCGCCGCGCAGCCGCCAGCTTTTGGGGGTTGGCACGGATTGGCTGGGCCGACTGGAAGTCCGTGTTGTGTCGGACAGTCTGTCGGCCATGGGGCACCAAAGGACGGGAATGCGTCAGCCAGACCCACCACCGCCACCACCGCCACCACCGCCACCACCGCCACCACCAGTCAAAAGCAGCAGTCGGCCAGGTGCCATGGCCGGCCAGCAGTTCCTGGCTCGTGGTTCGCCAGGGGCCCGCAATCATACGCACCTCGTTTTTGAAGAAGTCCACCTGTGCCCGATAGTGCGCCAGTGTCAGACGGTTGTTGATGTACTGGTCTGTCATGCCGACAATGGCCCACCTGTGGCAAGGGAGCAGGCGCATACATGCGAAGGGCCCGGGGCAGGTTAGAAATGAGGGAGGCTGGGCCTCTGCCCACCGAGCAGCAGCAGCAGCAACAATAGGTGGGCAGGCGGATGCACCGAGAGAAAGGCGGCATGCGTACCAGAGCAACTTGTTCGAGTCGCGGCCCAGCTGCACGGCCATCGTGTAGAGGGTGCGCGAGCAGGAGGCCCCATACCAGCTGGCGCTGTAGTACCGGGCCACGAGCTTCTGGTGGCGGGCCAGCTCGGCCCGACGGAGGGCCTGTTGCTCGCTCGGCAGGCCGAGTGTCCGCAAGCGCTTGCGTCGCTGGAGTCGGTCCCGGCGAGTGCCCGCACGATCCTGGTCGGACCCGAGCTCCACTTCACTGTCGTCCTCGTCCGCCTCGGTCGAGGATCCGGGGCTGGAGGCGCCGCCAAGTCCCGAGCCAGCGTCTGCCTCGTCCTCGCTGTCGGTGCTCTCATCCAAGCTGTCCAGGTATGAATCGTCATCAAGCCCGAGGGGGCCGGCTCCCGGCGGTGGGGAAGGGGGCCGACGGCTGCGCACGGGCCCGGCCGCCAAGATGTCCAGCTCATGGCCATCTTCGTAGTCTGAGTCGCTGCCCAAGCCATCGGGATCCTTGGAGGCGGCGTCCTGCGCATGGAGCTGTGTGAGCGCCGGTATAGGAGGCAGGGAGGAGGAGGAGGAGGAGGAGGAGGAGGAGGAGGGGAGCGGAGAGTCGAATAGGGAAAGGGAGAAAAGGGCAAGAGGGGGAGGGGGGAAGGAGGAGGAGGGAGGTAACATCCGATGGATTCACGCACCAGGGCCAGATAGGCGGCCTTGACGTTGTGCATCTTATGCTCGATTTCCCCGTCGTCCAGGATGAACACCTGCGAGTTGGAGTAGAGGTTCCGCAGATCGTAGGGGCGGTGAGAGTCGGTCACGTAAAAGCGTGTTTGACTGGCGGTCTCCCCGTCGGACAGGGAGAAGAAGGCCCCGAGATCGGTGACCGCGCCGCAGTCCAGCATGAAGACGCTCCGAAGCTAGGGGGGGGGGGAGGAGGGGGAGAGAGGATGGGTCAGGGTCCGGAGGGGCCAGCAAAAAGGGCTGTCGGGCAGGCCAACGCCCTGTCGTGTAGTGACGCACGTCGGGATTAGATCGGATGAGTGTTTCGTTGATGTATGCCAAATCATTGTAGCCCAGGACTGGAACCAGTTTGAAGGGGATGAATTCGGCCTTGAGTAAGGCCTGCCCGCGGGGAGAGGCGGCAAGAGGGAAGGCAACGACCGCGATATTGGGGAGGTGCGAGGGGGGGCGGGGGTAGACAGATGAACGAGAAAAGGGATACAGGAATAAAGAGGTCAGGCGCGGTGGAGATCTCAGCAGCCGGCGGAGAGGGGGGATCCCCCCCGACGTACAACTAGGATACGGCATGCGCAGAGGGCGTCCACGGTGGCCGCGGCCAGGATCAGTACCGAGGAGGCGTGTCCAACGGCATCCTCGCGGACCCTCCGCAGAGCGACGTCCAGGCCGCTGTGGAGAATGAACATCGTCGCCGGGGGGGGGGGGAGAAGGGGGCGGCTGGGTTCGGGTGGGCGCCGAGCGACTGCGCGTGACCCAGGGCGCCGAGCGACCGGCCGGACAAGAAGGAGGGACGGGGTTTTGAGGGGGCGCCGGATGGGGGCGCTGCCGTCTCAGCGAGGGGCGCGGCGAAGGAGGCGAAGGCTGACTTGCAGGAGGAGCGAGAGGGGGCGGGCTGGAGATCGAAGGCTGTGCCAGGTACTGAGAAAGGGGAAAAAGAATGAGAGAGGGGGGGGGCTGAGGAGGGGAGAGGAGGAGAGGGAATCTATGCGCGCCGTCTTCCCGGGAGTGAACATGAATGATCCTGAAGAAGATCGCGCGTCCGGGCGGCGTCCGGCGTCCCTGCCCGATCCTGGGTCAGCGCTGGGGCTCTGGGTGAGCCGGTATCGGGGCGCTGTGTGGGTGTGGGTGTGGGTGTGTGGGTGTGTGGGTGTTTGCCATTGACACGCGACATCACCCCCCAATCGAGGCCGTCGACACTCCCTCACGGAACAGGCAACGGGAGATGACAAAAATCAGGCCCGACGGCCTCCCGACAAACACAGCAGAGTCTAGTGGGCAACGGTGTGAGCTTGCCACCCACAGGGTGGAAGTGGGCGCACGCCGCAGGCAGGGGGCGCATAAAAAACGGTCTGCTCTCTGAGCGAGCCTGAGAAAGTATTCCGGGGTTGGAGGAGCGTCCGGTGTGTACGCATGCGTGGGTGTGCATGTGCTCCTCTTTGTGGCGCCCGCCTCGGCACAAACGGCAACGGCTATGGGTTCCCAGGAGTCGGGGGCTGCCGATGGCTCAACTTGGTCCTCCTGCACCGGGTCGCAGGATGCCGAAATGAGGGAAGCCGGCCGTTTGGAGCCGACCCGCCCCCCGCCCACCCCCCTGTCTCCCTCACGCCCTCTCTCGCTCTCTCACTGCATCCCCCCACTTAGCGCCCGTCTTCTCTTTCTCTCCCTAAAGCACGCCCAGCCGCGCCGCCCGGGTGTTCGCTGTCCGGCAGCCGCGCGTGCATGGAGCCATGCGTGGTCATATGCCGTGCACCCCGGGAACAACACGCCGTGCTGCACTGAGAGAGAGAGAGAGAGAGACACACACACACCCAGCGAACGGAAGGGGGCGCGGTCACTTCGGAAGGGCCGCGGCCAACGCTGTTACACCGAGGGTATAGGAGTATAGCACCCCCACCCCATGGACCTTGCGGCGCGTGTCCCCCCTCTGTGAGCGGACGAGCGATTTTTCCCCGAACTCCGCCCCTCCCCCC